TTTTTTTTTGCAGTTTGGCCGGGGCCGGGTTCAAACCCACCACCCTCAGTATATGGGGCCAGTGCCCTATCCACTGAGCCACAGGCGCTGCCCAAGACATTTCTTTTCTTTCTTTCTTTCTTTTTTTTTTGAGACAGAGTTTCATGATGTTGCCCTGGGTAGAGTGCTATGGTGTCACAGCTCACAGCAACCTCCAACTCCTGAGCTCAAGCCATTCTCTTGTCTCAGCCTCCCAAGTAGCTGGGACCACAGGCACCCGCCACAATGCCTGGCTATTTTTTTTGCTGTAGTTGTCATTGTTGTTTGGCAGGTCCGGGCCAAGTTTGAACCTGCCACCTCCGGTGCATGTGGCTGGCTCCCTAGTCACTGAGCTACGGGTGCCGAGCCACATAAGACATTTCTAACAGCAGCTGCCTCTGAGGAGAGAGATTGGGATGGGGAGACTTCATGCATACTCATGCGTGCCTTTTGAATTTTGAACTACGTGAATTTATTACCTGTTCCAAGATGAAAATAAAAGGATTCAAATTAAATAATAATTATTTAGGCTCGGCGCCTATAGAACAGTGGTTATAGCGCCAGTCACATATACCGAGGGTAGTGGGTTCGAACCTAACCCGGGCTAGCTAAACAACAATGACAACTGCAACAAAAAATAGCTGGGCATTGTGGCAGGCACCTGTAGTTCCAGCCACATTGGGAGCCTGAGGCAAGAGAATCGCTTAAGCCCAAGAGTTTGAGGGGATAATAAAAATTAAATAATTTTTAATAATTATTTAAAAACAGATGGTGCTTACAGCCACTCTAGAAGCCAGCATGTGACCTGTCTTGTCCATTATCTTGTTTCATCTATGGGGAAATAGAAGTCCAAAGAACAGAAAGTCATAGCCGAGGTAAGTGGCCATGCCTGGGTTTGAAGCTCCTGCCTAGGTTCCACCAGGAGATAGCCACTCCTCATCCGTGGTGCCACCTAAGACAAACTAAAGATTGTGGCCTTGAGCAAAGTTATCTGGCCTCTGAGCCTCAACCTCCCCATTCGTAAACCTAGGGAAACCTTTTATACAATAGTTATGCAACTGCACTGGCTGGCAATGCCTGACCTGATAGCAGCTGTGAACAAACATCAGCATCTTCCCCAGCATCCTGGGCTTGTCACCTGGCTGGCTGGCTGCTGAATTTGGCTTTGAGGGAGTGTGCCTACTTCTATGCTCCAGATAGCACCTAGGATGTGGCAGCAGCTTGATAAATGGGAAATATTTCCATAATGCTGAGGATGGGATGCTCTGGAGTCCCTTCTGCAGTACCTTCCTCCCTAGCCAATAAAGCAACAAATAAATGCATCCTGGTTCCTATGGGAGGCTGAGCCTTACTCAAGAATAGGACCTTTCTTCCTTGATAGGATGGGAACACCCCATCATATGGGTGCAGAACTTTATCTGCTATTTCAGGAGAACCTCATAGCATCCCTTAGCACTAGACAGGGCAGAAATGATTGCCTCCTTTTCAGATGGAAAGACTGAGGCAAGGAAGGCATTTGGTTTGTTCCACATTCAAACAAAAAGAACTCTCTCATAACTAAAACTAAGTCCAGCACTCATACTTGCCAGGTTCCAGGCTTAACATAGCTCAGACTTGAGCCTGACAATAGCTAAGACCCATTTCACAGAGGTCTGAGGTTCAGAAAGGTTGAGTAACTTGCCCAAGGTCACAGAGCTACCAGATAGCTAGAATAAAATTACACAGCTAAGCAGTCTAGGGCTCTTGCCTGACTCCTCAGCCTCCTTGGAAGGACCAGCTGGGAATGTGAGCTGTGTCTGCTGGTTCCAAGCATAGATACCCTTTCTGCAGGCCTTACAGCCATAAGCAGAGGCAAAGGCAGCAGTGAGGGCACCCTTGTCAACACTTGCTGAATGAATGGACTCTGTACGACCAGGACATTCTCCATACCAGGGCAGTAGGCACACCAGAGCCAGCAGTGGGAGTCTGTGGATGCCTCGAGGACCTGGTGAGCAAGTCTATTTTAAACACCTCTGGATGAGCAGAGCCCCTCCCCAGCCTCGATGCACGTGGAGGCCAGCCTTAGCAAGCTAAACAGACAGCACATGCAGACCCACGTGCACGCACATACATACTTTTTAAAATTAGTGTTTAAAAATGTAAACAATATAATTAAGATCCATACAGGACAACAGAGAACTGGCAAGTGGTTCTTCCTAGAGGCTCCAGCTATGGGGGTGGGGGCAGGGGCAGGGGCAGGGGCCGGGGCCAACCACTGGGTCACTAAGGACCACACTTGGCCAGGTCTCTTTCTTAGCTCCTAATATCTATTTGTTGAGGACCATTCAACCTTGACTGAGCTTCCAAAGAAGAAACCAGGAATTTTCTCTAACCGGGGTCACAGGCCAGGGCACTGGAGTGAGCAAAATCTTATTAGTTTTTATAAAAGCCAGCTGCTAGATTTGGGATTAAAAAAAGAAAGAAACAGAAAAGCAAGGAAGAGCTGAAGCTTCCCCAAGACAGGCTGGCTGTGGCCTGGAGTGTGTTTTCTGGCCATGGGTTTGGCCCAGCTCCTTCTGTGGGTGACTGGGGGAGATGCAGCCCCTGGCTCCCCAAAGCAGCAGAAACTGGTGGGCTATGAAGCCACAGCTTCTGCCCTGGGAAGCCCGGGTGCTGTTTCCAATGAGGTTTCTGACTCTGGCCAAGTCAATCTCCCTCTGTGTTTCGATTTCCTCATCTGTGACACTGGGCTAGGGAGCCGGGGAGGCTCAACCTACGGAGAGTACAACTGGGAAGCACAGAACACCTGGCGGAGGCCATGGGCACCTCCAGCCAACGACTCCCCAATGTGGACCAACTGAGTCAGCCATCCTTCGTATACTTTGAGCTCACTTGTCCATCCTCAGGGCCCCACATCCAGGCGGTGAGGTCCACCCTCAGGAAGGAGGGGAGAAAATTTGGGGGACAGAAGGTGGAGACCCCACCAGAGGCAGGTAGAGAGCAGGGAGGGAGAGGAGGGACACAGCAAGAGGCACTAGGTCGGAGGCGGCTGTGGAGGGGCTGGGGTCCTGCGGCTCCCGCGGAAGCCAGGAGAGGCTCAGGAGGGAGCTGCTGGGAGCGCAGCCCAGAGGGCAGCCGGAACCAGGAGAACCCGCACTTACTGTCGCCGCTGCGCCGCCGCCGCCGCCGCCGCCGCTGCCTCCGGGCGCACGGCCACCACTGCCACTCGGGCTCGGCGGCCTGCAGGCCCGGCTCCTCCTCCGCCCGCCCTAGCCCCGCCCCGTCCGGAGCCTCCCTGCCAGGCAAGCTCTTGGTAGCCGTTTTTCTCCCCACTGTGGGCCTGTGTACCTTCCCTGTCTGGTGCTGGGCAGCACGCAGCCATTTCACAGGTGGGGAAAGGGAGGCTCTCACGCTCGGGGTGGAGACCGCAGGGAAGCCAGATCTCCGGGCTACTGCGCCCCAGGAGCCGGAGGACTCTCAACTTGCCTCCAAGCCGCTGCTGAGGGGCTCCTCCAAATGCAACCCCCACTCCTCCCTGATCCTATCCTTTAGAGGTGGAGCAGGGCCCACACTCAGGGTGAGCTGGGCTTCTCAGGGCAGGTGGCTGTTTTCAGGAGACCCAGCCTGAAACTTGCACCCTGTCCTCAGCCCCCTGTGTGCTCTTGGTAAGAAAGTAAGAACCTTCTGGACTGCAGTCCTGGTCCAAGCTGAAGGGATCTGGATGTCTGTGCAGGGCCTGAAGTTCTACCACCATTGGTTGTTGCAGTGGTCACCCCAGGGATCAGAGACGCCACTGTGGAGCCTGTGCCCTTGGTAGTGTGGACAAGTTCTCAGAGCATCCTCACTCCCTGTCCCAGGTAGTCATTTCATAGCTAGCATTGCGCAAACACTGGCCTTATCATACAAGTCTCTGGGCTCACACCCAGTTTCCAGGGCCCCTCCAGAGCTGCTGCTCCCTGCAGGGGGGTTCGCCTACCTTGTTTGTTCTTTCCTACTCGGCACTGGGTACATAACATAATAAATGTTCAGTAAACACTAGAATGAATGCAATCATCGTTCAGTGGGTCAGGGCTAGGGCTCCAAAATAGATCTCTCTAACAAGCTCCCCCAGCAAGCAAGCTTGGGGAACAGCATCCTAAATTGTCAGAAGGCTCTCCAGCTTGAAGTGCCCTTCTCCCTAATCTTAGCCCTGCACATGTGGGCTGAGGGATAGTGGTAAAATTACAAAACCTCTCTGAAACCCAGGGTTCACTTAGGGCTATTGAGGGAATTAAATGAGGCGATTGATGCCAGGCCTTCACTGCAAATTTCTTTCACTTCCATAGAAGAGCTCTCCACCCCCCAAAATGTGGTAGTTTATTCATCAGGCCTTAATTTTAGCTTTCCTTATATTTGGGGGAAAAATCCTCAAATATAAAAAGCATTTTCACAAGTGTTGTCTCGTTTGATCCCCCCAACCCAGTGAAATGGAACTGTTGCTCACATTTTACAGATGAGGAAACTGAGGATCAAAGAGGAAATGGGGCTTCACAGGGCACAAAGCTGGCAGTGATGGAGTGGCAGGCCCCAGAGGCAAGATTGTCTCTTCGATGCCACGTGGCAAACAGGCAGGTGAGGTTGAGGAGGGAGGGGACAGCACATGTAATAAAAGCGTCCAGTGAGGGCAGCAGATCAAGGCTATGTCTGGTCCAGCCCCCATAACCTGATCCCTTCTCTCGGAGCTCGAGAGCTTTGTCATTTGATTGCTTTTTCTCCCTGCAAAGTCCTGAGTGGTATGTAGTCATTTTTATCTTTATTTTTGGAGAATGTGCGTGTATGTCAGCCAATGAGACAGTTTTAGGACACCTGCCCAGAGAACCAGAGGCACCAGGAATCTTCCTCCAGAGCACGGAGGCTGGGGGGCTTTCTCCAAATCGAGGTGGCGTCAGACCCTCAGTGATTAGCTGGGGCTGGGTTTAGGAGGGGGCTCCTGGGATGGCTTCCATTATTAAGACAGAAAGACTTGGGAGGAAACAGGTTGCTAATGCATCTTCAGGGCCGCCTGCTGGCCAGTGTGAACTTGTCTTTTCTCCAGGATCTAGACAGATGGCAGTGGCAGTGTCTAGCTCGGAGACACAAGTCAGGTGCCACTGGGTGCTCAGGTTCCCAAGGAATGTTTGAGGCTTTAGGGGATCAGGGGAGCATGAGAGTAGGAGTCAGAGCCCTGAGCCTTGAGTCTACCTCTGCTGAGTAACTTTGAGCACATCTCTTCCCGGTAGGCACTTCAGTGACAAGGTAATAAAAACATCCACCGTGCTAGCTATGTGTTCAGATCTGTGTTTTGCTTCAACAGTGTTTGGACAGAACAGACCCAGCGACCTCCATTCTTCTAGCCTGAGACAGCTCTCTGATGATCTCTTTCTACTTGCAATTTCCAGGACCATCTTCACGGCTGTCTCCTGCTTCTGGAGACAGCTAACTCTGTTGTTTTGTGGTTAGCTCCTGATCGCCAATCATGAGCTCCCAGATTCATCAGAATTATTCCACCCATATGGGGGCAGCTGTGGTCAATTTGCATCTGTGGGCATCCCACACCTACCTCTCTCTGAGCTACTATTTTGACTGCCACGATATGGTTCTGAAAGGCGTGGGCCACTTCTGCAAACGGGCCAAGGAGAAGTGTGAGAATGCTGAGTGCCTCTTGAAGATGCAAAACCAGTGAGTGTGGTGGTGGTGCTGGCTTCCAGGATGTGCAGGGCCATCTCGGGAGGAGAAGGGTACAACCCTGGACACAATGGAAATGGCCATGGCCTTGGAGAAGAGCCTGAGCCAGGCTCTTTCGGATCTTCATGCTCTGGCTTCCACCCTCACAGATCACTGTCTCTGTGACTTCCTGGAGAGTCACTTCCTAGAAGAGGAAGTAAAACTTTTCAAGAAGGTGGGCGAGCACCTGACAGCCTCCACAGGCAGGGGGGCCCCAGGCTGGGCTGTTTGAGTATTGCTTTGAAAGTCTCACTCTCAAGCACGACCCGGAGCCTGCAGAGCCCAGTGACCTCTGTCTGAAGAGGAGGTCAAGGATTCAGAGCTTCTGCCTGAGTCTTGCCCTCCAGCCACTAGGCCCATTTTTAACCACCCCGGAGTCCTCTCCCAATCCTTGGAACATGTGGAAATAAAACTTTTGCAGTAAAACAAACAAAATTATTACCTTTATATTAATAAATTATCGGAGATGAGGGAGTGGGGAGGAAGAGACAGAGCACAAGTATTTGGACCAGGCAGACTTGGCTGCAGCCAGGCTTTGGTGCTGGGACAAGGGTGGGTGGGAGTGGGGCTGGTGGGAGTGGGCCCCAGGACTGGCTGGGCTCTTATCAGTTGCCTGGCCCTGTCCTGGAGGGGCCACATGGGCCCTTTTTGATTAACATGGTAGGGAAGGAAAGTAATTTTTCTAACCGTCATGAGTTTGTAGTTGGAGTGGACCACTGTAACAAAAGAGGGGCTAGCAAGAGAAAAACAGAAGTTTAGTAACATGTGAACTTCTTGTCTACGTGGGAGATACTCAGAGAAATAAGTAAGTTTCCATGAAACCTGGCTTTGTGTTTAGACTTAAACAGTCTGTAACTAAAACAAAGAAAGAGAAGTATGGGGGAGGCCAGTTGTGGGCTGGTGGGCAGGACAATCTCAGGAAACAAGAGGAAGCTTTGCACACAGACTTAGGTTGGTGCCTTCTCCATCGATAAGTGTTTCTAGTAATTTAGCTCCATCATCTTCCTGGGGCAAAACAGAGACACTCGGACAAATGGAGATTTCCTTTATAGATATAAACTTCTCTTACAAAAGGCAACTTTTGCTCTTGTTCTCAGCGCTTCTCCTGTGTCCATAGTTTGTCAAAGTAACCAGCTCAAAATACTCCTTAGGCTAAAGAGGCATATTTTGGGGTGACATGTTCTATGTTCTTGTCTCTTACTGTCAGAGTTTGGGGTAATGTGCTTAGGGGTCATGAGCCCCATAAGTGCTTAGGAGTGGAGTGGCCTTGAAGGGCCCCCATTATGTATCTAGGCAGGGGCTGGCATATATGGGGCATTGCCACATCATTGAGTTGACAACCATCACCTGCAAGGCAAGCATTGTCAGAAGACGTCAGGGGAAATATCTGTACATTGTAAAGTACTACACACCCGCTAGGCATCTTTCTTTCTAAACACGAATGAAGAAGAAAAAGGAGGAGGAAGATAAGAAGAAAAAAGACAGAGAAAAGAAGGAAGTCAGGAAGGAAAGGGAAGGAAGGAAAAACCTACACATCCAGAGTTGACATTTTACAACTCTCAGTTCTTTGAAAAGGCACCTCGTCCCACCTTGGTTTGGAATATCCTGAGAAGTAAAGTGCTGGGCAGAAGCCATCTTGCTATTTCCAAAGGATTTGCCCCTCGCCCCAGGGAACTGGAGGAAGCGAGGCCAAGGGCTGGCCTGGGAGGCCTGCTAGGGGAGCCCCCTGGGCTGGTGGTTAGACCTGGGCTCTGGACCCAGACAGACCGGGGCTTGTATGCTGCTTTGCTGCTTATGTGTCCCCAGGAAGTCAAACCTCAGTTTTGTCGTCTGTAAAGGGCACGATAATACCAAATATTCTATGAGGTACAGAGTAGGTGCCCAATTAAAGTACTGACTGCTGTTTAAAAAGGTGAGTCTTGAAGACTCTGAGCTCCCAACGATCTCAATGAAGCCACTGCACGACCCCTTGTGGCAGGTACTATTGTCAGCCCATTTTGCTTATGAGGCAACCAGGGTGTGGAGAGGTTATTACCTTGCTCAGTCATGCAGCTAGTAAGCGTCAGAGCAAAATTCAAACTGCCTTTTTGCTTTTGAGAGCCTCCCAAGGGCTCCCTTAAAAGTGGTTTGGGCTAGGGGGTCACACAAACCCTCGTTTTTAAAGGCTGGAGCCCTGTAAGCGCCCCTTGCCCCCGCTTAGCTGAGTCTGCTGACTTGCAGGGGATTAAACAATCAGAAGAGGCCGAATATTTTGCACAGGCTCCATTTGTGCGGGGTTCTAATCACCACCAAGCCATCGCCCATGCACAGGGTTTGTGGGCCAATGCTGCCATCTCGTGGCACTTTTTTCTCACTGCACATGCTTTTAGTCGGGTTATTCAGCGGGATTGAGTTATTCAGCGGGATCCTTCCTCCCTTCCAGGGTTACTGGATCCTAAGAAGGGCACATGGACACCAAGAGGTAAGGTATCGCC